GGAAAAAAACTTAAAAACTATGAACTTTTAAAAAGGGAAAAAATTCTTCAGTTCAACATTTCTTGGAGTAGGGTGTTTGACACAAGTAGGAGGAGAGCCTGGCGTTAGCCGGGCGATCCGACTGGTATTGTTATAGCTTTGTTATAGCGTTGAACTGATAGAAATAAATAATTAATGAACAATATTGGGAAGCCGCTCGATTCTTAATAGAATTTCCGTGCATAGCTACCTTAATAAACAATTTCTGGTAAAATCGATATAGATGTTCAATATTTAAGGTTCAATTCGGCGATGTTGTCAGAAGTAGAGACGAGATTGGTTGGAAGGATCCATGACCAATTGAAGGACTACATTCGTCTGGAAGAAATGCGAGAGAAGGATAAAAAACAGAGGAAAGAGATAGAAAAAATTCCCAAAGAAGTGCAGCTTCAGCTCAAGCTCGCTCCTGAAGAACCGGTAGTTGATCAACTGCAATTGGTAATGTTTGGTTGTGAACAGGCTAAAAAATGCATAGCGGATGCCATAGAGAGATCAAAATAACGGGTATCTGATCATCTCAACTTCGATTCCATTGTTCTTTGTTGTGTTGTTGTTATGTTGTTTAAAAAAGTTTGATCAATTTTTATCCAAATAAAAGGTTACTTCTGGAAAATTGTCCACCAAGTAGGGTAGACTAGCCTTTGAAGTCCATTTTTACCATTTTTATTCTTGTGATTGTAGCACTGCAAAAAAGTGAGATTTTTGTTGGTCTTTTTGGTTTAGTCTGCGCCATGAACTAATAACCATTTAGTATTGTAGAAGCATTAGAATGCTAGTTTTGGTTGAAAAGTGACCAACCTGTACTCCCAAGCTAATGATCCACAAATGATGGCTCTATTGTTTGACCCAACCCCAAGAGCAGTGAACAAAGCTCCACCAACTGTCAATTAGGAACTTTAAAAATATGGAGTTACTCCAGTCCTTCTGTTGAAACCTTCAAAATATGGTCGCTATATTTCCAGTTGAAATGACGGTCAAAAGGACAAGCGACTAAATTGTGAACGGTTTTCAGCATCTCTGTAGCTCCTGCAACTCGTCTAACCGTAAGGTCTAGGCCTTTCTAAACCTTCCAGGCAGATATACTGCACCAGTACATCA